GAAAGAAGAGGTTACATTTTATTGGTAGCCTGCCTGGTCCACAGATAGTTTGAAGCCAAGACATCAAGTAGAATGAGTATGAGAAAGAAACTGATCGTGGTAATTTGGACATTAGAGTGACTTGATCAAAAAACAGTTTCCTTGAATTGAAGCCAGACTACACTCGATTGAGGAGTTGAAAAATTGGAGACAGACAATAATGACTACTTGCACAGAGGTGGTAAAGGAAAAAAGAGAGAGCGACAGTTCGAGGGGAAGAGGGCAGTGTTGTGGAACTCAGGGCTAAGGTTGGCGTTTTGGCAAAATTGAGAAGAAAACCTGGGAGACCTTGGGACCTCGATGGTCAGAATGTAGAATGGGCCTCTGGCCCGGAAGAAGGTCCTGCTGGATCCTTTGCTTGCCAGAAACTGCTCCCCAGGATCTCTGAGGTTTTCCACTGCTGATGGTGGCAAAGTATTTGCTTGCGTCTGAGTTCATGGTTGGGAGGAAATATGTAAATTTTCTGAAACCTCAGTGTTCCGTTGTAATGATTTGGCATTTGTATTCAAGAGAGAAAAGCCAAAACATGGGAAGACTTCCCTTGACCATTGCTCTTCCAGACTCCTTAGTGTGATAGTCAAGATTTCCCTTGTTCTGAACACACTCTTTCAACCACCCCTCCCAGTTTCTGTCTGCTGTCCCTAGACAGCCTGAGTTTCCTGCCTCCCTGTTTTAGCTCACATTGTTTTGTCCACCTGAAGTACCCTTTTGCCTTTTCCTGACTCAAACCAATCCCCTACCAATTTCTCTCCTTCATGTGCTATCGTTTCCTGTAACTTGGCACCTGTTGCAAAGGTATAAAAGCATTTTGTAAATTGTAAAGTGCCACACAAACTTAGCGTCTGTCCTCCTGCACCGCAAGGTTGTTGAGGGCAGAAACTGAGCCATTCTCATATTCATGTACATCAAACGACTTAGTGTTGTGTCTTGTACATACTTCGCGTTTATTAAATGTTGAATGAATTAGGGATATGTGATTCTGTGGTAGCTTAAATAATGCTAAGAATGGTCATGTTATACACTAGGTTCTAATTCACAGCTATTAAATTTATATTGAAATTCTGCTTCTGTGCAGTTTTCTGTAAAAATAGACTTTAATTTGGATCTTCCACTGGTTCACATCTCATTTTTTTCTTCACTGGATACATACCTATCGTAATCAATAATTGTAGGTTGCAGAGTGATGTCCTGGCATGTTTTTGACTGCAGTAGCAGAATACTCTGTGGTAACAAGAAGCCCGGACCTCGGGGATTTCAGGGTTAGCCTGGCAGTGTCCCCTCGATATTATCCGGGTCCCTTTTGCTGTCCATGTTTTCACTTTGTCGTCCTTAGCGTGTTGATGTTGGCTTCCCTCATGACCTCAGGATGGTTGCAACACTTCTAAGTATGCTCTGCAAACAATACCCAAAGGCAGAAAAATACAGTTTACCCTTCAGCATCGCTGTGAGGGAGGACAGCTTTTCCTGAACGCTTCCCAGCAGATTTCCCCTCAGGTCCTGCTGGTCGAGATTCGGTTATTTGCGCTGGCAGGAGGAATGGAACAGCCATGGTTGGCTTGGACCAGTCAGGAATAGGTAGTGTAGCAGAAAATGAGCACTTGAATTCAGTTGGGGGTCTAAAGGCTGTGAAAGATACGGGGATGGGGGTGCGATAAGAAACAAGGAGCATCTGCCATGGGTGCTAACTTTGTGTCCTTGGCCTTCCCCCCCCGGGAAGTTAATGTCCTCACAGATTTCTAAGGGGAGGAAAAACTCTTTATAGTATTTCCACTGAGCTTGGTGTTGGCTGTCCGTAATAATTTGTTCATTGACTCACTTATTCACGTAACAAACATTAACTGAACACATGCTGTGTGCCAGGTATTGTGCTCAGCATTGGGGAAGTAGCTGAGTGAGACTTGGTCCTTGTCCTCAGGGGGTGGCTGGCCTGCAGTCCAGTGGAATAGGGAAGCTGAGGTAAGAGGGGAGGATAGAGTTATTCTGTAACAAACTGATTTTAGGAAATTTATTTTTCAACAGGAGATGTGGGACATGTGGATTTGGGATTTGAATTCATTTGAAAAGCCACTTTGGGGTAAGTTGGTAGCTGGGAGTAAATGACGCAGGGTTGTGCTTCTCTTTACATTGGGATTTGCTCTTACAGTGCTGTACGTTTCACACGTACGTTGATCGGACTTTATGCCTCATATACACACAAGAAAATGGCTCGTGCTAAAGTGCTAGTTTAGTAATCTGAGAACTAACCAGCAAGCAGAGCCCCGGTACTAATAGTGCATTCACGTCTCACTTGGGAGGTCAGTTTGAAGACTAACTGAAGATCAAATTTAGGAATAGAAAGATTCTTGTGCGAGCTTAACCTGCTTGAGCTCACCTGATAATCCTGTCTGTGGATTGGAAGTCACTGGAAGTCACTCACAGCGCCAGTGTTGAGGTGGAGGGTTAAAGCTGGTCTCTGAGCTGCTCTCTGCAGTGCTCCAGGTGGCCATTTGAATTCTCATTGTGTCAGTTCAAATATAAAAGATTCCTGGTTTTTTGGTTTCATCTAAGAAAGAACCTCTAGAAATACTATTTAACATTTACCAGGTGTTTAGTAAATGGGTGTGTTGTGCATTACTTTATTTAATTCAGTGCAATGGGACCATAAGGTGGGTGTGTTTCTCATTCAGAGGAATAAAGAAGTCTAGGTTTATGCAAATAAAATACAATTGTTAGACTCACACAAGTGATACGTTTTAGAATTTGAAATTTGAAATTCAGCATTTGGCCTAAGAGACACTCACTGCTGATTGAAAATGCTGCTTGTGTTGGGTGTTCCCGAGACCAGCCCCAGGTTCAGTGATTGGCTAGGAGGGCTCACAGGATTCAGCATGTAGTCATAATAATGGCTAAGATTTAGTACGGCAGAAGGATGCAAAGTAATATTAGCAAAGGGAAAAGTGCATGGGGTGAAGTCTGGGGGAAACTAGTCACTAGTTCCAGGAGGTGAACGTAATTCCTCCAGCAGTGAATTTTGACAACACATGTGAAGTGTTGTCAACCAGGAAAACTCATTAGACTCAGTGCCAGTGTTTTTATTGGACCCGATAGTGGAAGCACCCTCTGCTTAGCATGTACCAAAATTTCAGGCTCCCAGAAGGAAAACGGATGTTTTGCATAAACTGTACTGTTTGCACAGACAGTTTAGGTGCAGTGAGCACACTTACCATTTAAGGTAAGTTTTATATCAGTGTAGGGACGATTATCATTCAAGTTCCCAGACTCCAGCCAAGGGCCAGTCTGGCACCAAGCCTTTCTAAGGACAGTAATCTCAGACCTTCCATCTTAGCTTTTATCCTATACACTGATGTTTAATCTAAGAATGTTGTTGTTATGACCATTTAGCTTCTGAAAAATAGTGAGGTAAGTGGGTATTATGGCAAACCAAATTCTTCACCGGTGTTTGTTTTGAGGGTCCCACGACTGCCCACTGGTGTGATTTGCTGGAAGGACTCACACAAGTGCGCGTAGTGTTGTACTCACGGCTACGTTTTGTTACAGCAAAGGATACAGTGCAGGAACAACAGGAAACAGATGTGTACAGGTGAATGCTAGAGAGATCAGGCAGGACTTCTGAGACCCTCTGCGAGGATGGCAGGGACACGATTTTCTCTGTGGCTACGAGTGATAGAGCTTGTACAAGATGCGTTTGGCCGGGGAAGTACGTGAGTGTTACAGTCCAGAGTTCTTGCAGGAAGCTGTCCACATAGGCATATTCCTGCCACGTGGCCAGTCCTCGTAACTGAAACGTAGGGCCCAGACCAGATACCAGGTGCACATCATAAATCTTGGTGATTAAACATTGCTGACAGCCTGGTATATCCTGACCCACCACCTCTAACATCCTTAACCAGTGACTGTGAACATTCCAGGAGTTTAGTTCTCAGAGTTTGGCCAGGGGTCATTGCCAAGGCTCTAGTCATCCCCAAGGGGTTAGCAAGGACTGAGTAAAACAGACCTGCTGTGTTGACCCTTTCTTCACAGTATCATACATGAAATAATGTTGCATTTGCTGAATGCAGAATTTAATGTTGATATAGTCTTTAAAATATGATACTCTGTACTTAGAAAAAATAATAGTAGAAATAGTTGACAGATTTCACTTATCTGAGGGGAGCTTTGTAGATTCTTTTCTTTTAGGGGTTTATATAATGGTGACTTTGGGATTTCCCTCTTTTGTCCGCAATATTTATATTATACATAGATATGTGTTATGTTAAGGAATGATCCAGAAATATGAACTTAAAATAGTTAAATCAAGATAACACATAATTAACCTTTTTATGAAGGTCTGCCTTGTGAGAGGCTTTTAAACACAGTGGGGTCTCTCTTTTTTTTCAGTTTGCAGATTCACAGAAATAACAGTTTTACAGAAAGAAAATAACCCGTAATTTTAAAACTGCCTGGTTCCAGGATGTGAAACCAATCTTTACTACTTTAGTTATTGCTATTTGAAACCTGCTTTGTGTTATGCAGAAAAGAAAAAGAAAAGACAAAGTAGATGGGGAGAGTTTCGTGCTTGAATATGAGAAGTTCTGAGTTAACACGGTTACATGGGTTTCCTTATTGTAGAACTTACAGAACCTTTAGCGCAGTAATTTGCAGTGTGAATCTCCCAGAGTGAATAGAGTAACATTTCCTTAACTTATTTACAGAATTTCTTTAGGGAGGACTCTCAGGTATGCATCCTGCAAACAGTGCTCTTTAGAACCAAATAGAAGGACATTGAGAAGCCCTCAAAAGATTTTAGCTAAAGGAGAGACAGAAACAAAACAACTATAGAAAAAATTTAAAGAAAACCTTATTGCAGAAGAGTTTAGTATCTTATACTGCCTGACAAAACCTGTTTAGAAGCTAACCTATCTGGATGTCTCTTTCCTGCCAGGTTTCCTGAGTTGATGTTTCTCTTTTGCAGTGTGAATGGCTTATCTCTTAGACTGGTATTTGATAGTGTGATAAGAGCTTCCATGGTGTGGATCATTGCCTTCATGCATAGATCTGTTGGAGGGTCTCTTACCCCATCCCTTTGCCTGGTTAGTACAATGCAAAGTTAGTGACTCTAGGTGTGGGTGCCTGACAATTCTTTGTTCTTGGGAGACAGGAGATAAGCGCCTAAGTGTACTCAGAAGTCGGAAGTTTTAGGGCCAAGAGATTGTTTCAGTTTTGCTATTTTGCTCAAAAGGTTGTTTCTAGATTTTGATGATTATGATTAAGCTCCTATAAAGATTTGCATACAAGCCTTTGTATAGATGTACATTTTCCCTTCCCTTAAGTAAATAGCTAGGAATGGAATTGCAGATTCTTGTGGGAAGAAACTGCCAACTGTTTTCCAGAGAGACTGTACCATTTTGCGTTCCACTGGCAATGTATTAGAGGTCCAGTTGCAGCAGTTCCTTGCTAACACTTGGTGTTTTTTTCTTTTCTGCTTTAGCTGTGTATGTTGGTGCATAGTGTTGTTTCATTGTGGTCTTAATGTGCAGCTCCCCAATAGCTAATGATGTTGAACATCTCTTCACATGCTTGTTTGCCACCTGTATCGCTTTTTTGGTGAGGTGACAGTGCAAGCCTTTTGCCCATTTTATTGGATTGGGCTTTTTTTAAAATTGTATCTTGAGAGTTCTTTATATATTCTATATACAAGTAATTTATCAGATACATAACTTGTAAATATTTTCTCCCAATCTGTGACTTGTTTTTATTTTCTTGACTGTCTTTTGAAGAGCAGATTTTAAGTATGAGGTCGAGTTGATCAGTCTTTTTAATGATTTGTGCATCTTATTGTTCCTGTGTATGGAATCTTTACATAACCCACGGGCTGAAAGGTTTTTGCCTCTCCTTTATCCTCCTTTCCCCACACCGCTCTCCTCCTAAATGCACATACACCCACTGCATCTCATCTTCAGTTTTAGAATCTAGTTGTGTTGCCTTGGAAAAATTAAATAGGAATGGGTACAAAGTTAAAAAGATTTACATTTAAGTGTTCTGGGCTGCAAGGATTGAAAAAAATAACAATCAGCAGATTTTAAAGAACACAAAGCCACATTCGAATCCCACATATTGCTCTAGCAGTCAGATTCCTTGCTTTGCCAATGGCCAAAAGAGGAAAATTTCCATGTAATGTGGCTTGAAATATAAATTTATATATATATTATCTCTCTCTCTCTCTCTCTCTCTATATATATATATATATTCTCTCCAGAAAAGTGAGACTGTTGCTCCATGACCCCGTGCACTGTGATGCTTTTGATGCTCCCCTCACCCCAGCTACCTTAGGTGCCGGTAGCTGCTCACCACATGGGACACTGCGTCACATATGGAGTAAGTGTGATTTTGAGACAAGACTGTGACAGTAGAGTCCCTGTTCTCACTGTGCAGTCAGGGACTGTTGGTTTGATGAGAGGAGGACTATAGGCAAGAGAGCAAAGTCCCCAGAGAGATGAGCAGAAATAATACATTATGTGTTTCTAAGTATCAGTGAGTATTTTGGGGGTGCTTTTCAGGTTGCTATTTAGCCACCTTGTGGAGTAGGCAAGGACTCGTATCTTTTTCGTAGATAAACTCTCTGGCCTGTCTTGGACTGTGCGGGTAAACCCCGCTCAGCTGCCTGCCAGGGAGCATGCCACATAAGGCCGCCCTTGTAAGAAGCCGCTCTGCTGCCGCTCAGCCCAGTCCTTCAGTGCGCCTGTCCGTGGGCTTTCGGTGTGGGGCCCCTGTGCCAAGAGTGTTTCCTCCACCTGCTCCTCTGAATGCCCTTGGCTCACCTCTCTCCTGATGAGCCTGCCTTTGAACATTGTGTCTGCGGCTCGGTGGGATGACGCCCTACCTCTCCGAGGCCCCTCAGACTCCTCCAGAGCTCCCCAGAATGAGCGCCTATGTGCCAGAAATGTTTCTGGTCAGGGTGTCCCAAATGACTGCAAATTTGGTGACAGTTCCTCCAGTCATTTTCTCATGATATTTTAACAGATTGGGGCAGGGGGTGATGGTTAGAAACTAAAAATCGGGGGACATCTATAAAATTAAGGACTAGGTCTCAGATCTTGTGATGCCCTTTCTTTTCTGTTATACTTTTAATGAGTCCTTTTCTGAGTGGCTGGTGATGAGCATTTTTAGAATGGGATTCAGTGGAACAGAGGGACAAGAATCACCCCAATTAAACTGCTCTAGTACAGCTACCAGGAGAGTGCGTATAAATCCTTGGGCCCCAGGAACTGAATGTGAGTTGTGGAAACGGACTGGGAATCACTAGTTTCTCAAACTCCTGTGGCAGTTAATGGCTTTACTTTTGCTTTAGTGTTTAATAGAACAGTTGAATAGAAGGCGGTTAAGTCCCATGTAAGATAGTAGCTCACTGTTTTTGCGTTTTCCTAATTGTGGTGAATCAAGCACTTTTTTGCTGGTTTATTGACTCTTCAGGTTTCCTTTCTGCAAAGGGCTTGTTTACATCCTTTGTCCATTTTTCTCTTGGATCATGTATATTGATATTTGTAGGAGTTACTTTTTCTTGTTGCTATTAGTTTTTATGTATTTTACAAGTATTTTTTCAAGTCTGATTTTAAAACTATTCTTCATAGTAAAATTTCACATGCATTTTAAATTAATCTTGCAGTTCATTCTTTACGTTCTGAATTTTTAAGTTTTTTTTCTTTCTGTAGGTTATGAACGTGATTTCTGATGAAACTGGATTGGAATAATTTTCATGATCTTTGTATATTTATATATATATATATATTTTAAAATTTTGCATTTGACTTAAAGTGCCATGAGAAAATTTGCATATTGCAAGGTGGTCCTGGCCACCTCCTTGATTTGGGTACTCTTGGATATGTTCCTGCTGCTTTACTTCAGTGAATGCAACAAATGTGATGAAAAAAAAGAGAGAGGACTTCCTGCTGGGGATGGTGAGTTACTTTCTATCACAATGGACCTGTTTTGATACGTATGTCACTTGTTTTTACTGATTTGGAAACTATAAAGTTTTAACAGTTTTAGATTAATCATAATCTCTGGCTTCCCGTATATGATGGTCATATTTGCAGCACTTGTCCAGTGGGTTCTTCCAACAGTTAAAAGTATTCGAGTATCACATATAGAATTGCTAAATTCAATTTGTGTGTTCAATATTAAATGTAGTTAATTTTGTGGAAGTTATATGACCGAATAATGCAAGGCCTCTCAGAGCCGAAACTCCGGCAACTGTACGGAGGACTGGTCTGACTCCATAATGCTGAGCAGGGCGTTACAGCTGCAGTAGCAGCATCAGGGAGATTGCTCCAGCCTTCCTGTCTCAGGCCTAAGGGAAGAGGTCATTTTAGGTAGATGTCTGGAGAGTTCGTTTTGTTAATGCTGGAGATAGCTCCAGTTAGCACGTTTAAGGAGAACTTTTGAAAAGATCAGGCTGTAAAATAGGGGCCGCTGTGAGAACGCCACAGTAACTGATACGGGAAAGGAAGACAGCACACGATGGAGGACGTACGTTGGCAAGTACTGACATTTTTGGCAGAGGACACCTGAAAAATTCAGTTTTAAACTCTGTGTTTAAACCAACACATGAATGCTGCCTTTTATTTTTGTTTTTAAACATGGTGAAAATGACTCTGCCTTGTGAGTCAGTGATGCCACTGTTCTGGGCTCTGAACTCTCCGTGATTAGTTATAGAATATCTGGCTAACCAGGATCTGTTTTAAGGAGTTATATGTAGATGATTAGTTTTCTTTGAATATGTTGTCACATTTAAATATTTTGCACTTTTACAGCGCAGGCACCTGGTCCCTTAAAATTTATAACCTAAAAATTATTTATTATTGGTAAGTGTGCCTACTTCCTGTAATTTTTATAGATGGGATTGTGTGACCAGTTCTATTTATTTTTTGGGAAATTTGCCTAAAATTAGGCTCAGTTGCTAACACTGGACTTTAGTAATACCTAGCCTAACCCCTAACTTTCTCATTTTCACCTTCCTTGTAATTTTTTAATAAAATATATTTTTATTCGAAGTTACCCTATTAATTTGTTGACTTCCCTGGTTTCCTTTATGGTCCTGCTGGTTAGTAAGTTTGTTGGGCGACAAAACCCTGCCTCGTTACCTGCTGTTAAAGCTATAACTCTGTCTCCATTTAAATCAAAGGGCAGGTATTGCCATGCATCAGTAAGAAGGTAGGGTATTCTTTTCTTAAATAGAACGGATTAACTTTCCCCCCACTCCACCTTAACTCATTGCCATTTATAGTGGGAGTTCGTGGTGTTCTACCTTAAATGGAAGGGCACGAAAGTAAGACAGAATGGGACCTCTGTAGCATCAAAGACCCACTTGGTGGATGTTTTTTAAACTCTGATATGCGCTGGGCAGTGTGCCTTCTGCTAGTGACACACAATTCAACAACACAAAAAAGTTCCTCCCTTTGGGGAACTCCCTCTCCTCCAATAGGAGAGAAAGAATAGTAGGGAGATAGTGATATGATACATTGCATACTAGAGATGCCCGTAAGAGCAGGAGGAAGGAACACCTCAGGGCACCTGAGAAGGTGCAGCAAAGAAGTGATGCTCAAGTTGAGTATCAGGGTGAACAGGTGTTGGCAGGTTTGATGGGTGAGGGGAGTGCCTTCCATGCAAAGGAGAGAAGTACATGCAAGATGAACAAGAGAGAGAGCAGAGTTGATGGATGGGAGAAGGTGAGGGGGGAGCACGAGACAAAGTCAGGGAGGCTGGCAGAGGCCCCGTCACAGAAGGCCGTTTGTGACCTGCAAAGGGTTTGGGGCCTCCTCCTGTAGGCAGTGGCATGCCGTGGAGGGATTTCTAACAAGGGAATAAGTAACCTGACGGCATCTGGACTTTCAGAAGAAAGTTTGGTGGTCTTGTGGCTGATATACTGAAAGAGAGTAAGACAGCAGAGACTGGTTTTAGTGCTGCTGAGAAAGTTTGGAGGCGTCCTTGGGGTCTACACTAAAATGACACTGGACGTGGAGGAATAAAATACACGAGAAGTCTTTAAATAGCGGGATTTACATTGAATGTCGGTAATAAGGGAAAGAGGAAAGTCTAAGATGACTCTCAGGTCTCCCTCTTTGGATCAGTTGATGTGAAATGAGGCCCCCAGAGGTGGAGCAGCTTTGATGAGAAGGTGGAAGGAGGAGCACTTCCAGGTGCCAGTGTAGATGCTCTGCCGCAGAGAGTGGTTGAGGTGGAGCTCGTGGGTGGCTGTGTGAGCCTGTGTGCGCATGAGACGGCCACAGGCTGTGTGGAGAGTTGGAAGAGGCAGACCAGAGTTGGGGAGGGTCATGGAGGGTCCCTACAGGAAGAGAAGGCTTCTGGGAAGTCAGAGGTGGGAGGAGAGGCCAGAGGGAGTTGGGTCATGGGAATCCAGGAGTGATGTTTGTTCAGAGATTTTACCTGAGATGAAGTTTTTCTGATATGTTTCCTAATGGGTTTCCTTGTGACCCTCGCACGTGCCACTGGATATGTATATACTGGCGTGCAGCCTCTTTTTAGGAAGCTTTGGCACAGAGAGAGGTGGGTAGTATAGTAGTTAAAGGAATGGAGCAAAAATTAGTTTTCCATGTATGTATATATTTTTTATGTGTGTTGAGGGAGAGACTTAAAATAAAAGGGAAAGAAATAATGGTTGAAAGAGCAAATTCTCAGCAGATGAGAGAGTGTGATATCAGAACCGTAAGAAAAGGATTATCCTTGAAGATGATTCTAAGGTTAGTACGGTTTCGAAAACCACTAGTGGCGTGAGATCAAAGAGAAGGAGTGGTTTTATACAAAGTACAGAAGTACAGAGTAGAGGGAAATTAGTCTGGAAGTGACGGTGCGGAGCTATGAGGTAGATCACTGCCTGCTGAGAACAGGAGAATGAACGTTCTCCCAGAAAAGGCTGTGAGGTCAGTGGGCTCTGGGGGAGAGAGTCAGATCTGAGTTGTCTGGTAGATGGGGCCCCCGTGTTGAGGAGACAAGATGATGGAGAAGCTTTGTGATGGCCCAGAGGGTTGAGCGGGACACACGGAGAAGGAGGTCAGCAGCAGAAGGACGAGGGATCGGCTGAGCAGTCAGCCAGGAGGTGAGTTAATAGCTGCAGGGAGAGGGTTTGAGAGGCCAGCAGTTCCAGATGGGCCCCTAGCGCATCTGTTTTCAAACTGTGTTCCATGTACCATTAAGGGATTGAAAGGAAAGAGTAGGGAAATGATTTAGGGACGGGGAGGAGTTGATGCTAAGCAAGGACAGTTTGAAGAATCTGCTCTGATGTGAAGTTTCAGTGCAGTGGGAGCTGAGAGGTCCCAAGTAGCATCAGAGCCTTGAAGTTGTCAAGGTTCTCAGCACGAGGCTAGTGAGGAATTGTGGTGGTGCCACCGAAGAGATCTTTTACTGCAAGTTGTTGGAAGAGAGTAGGTAGGTGATGCCACCAAGGACGTGGACCTTCTTAGTGGAATTAGCAAGTATGCTCAGTGACCTAGAAGAATGGAGGTCTCTTTTGATAGAACACGAGGTCTCCAGGGTGTTCATTTTCTATGGCATTTGAAAAACCAAATAAAAACGAAAAAGCAAAAAAAAGCAATGAGCCAATATGACGCTTGAGGGCAGTTGCTTCAGTCTTGTAAGAATCTCATTTCTGACCGTTCTTTGAACTGCTTTTCAGAGCCAATTTGGTGAAATTTACCAAATTCTGTTCTTTATACTATTTTGTGTAAAAAGGTGCCTTATTTTTAAGCAGAGTAAATTCCTTGTCTGTATGAAAATGCTCAGGGCCTTTTATGTGATTATCATTGATACAGTTAGTTTTCTGGGATTCTTACATTTAGTTTGCTACTTGCCAATAACAACAGGTAGTCCTGGTGATTACAGAGGGTTGTTTTGTTTTGTTTTATTTTCCTGAGTAGTTCTTTCTTACAGTTTTATACTTGTGTTTTATAACCCAGACTGCCTGAGAATAGCAAAATTCTTCTGTTGCTAGAGAATTAGATTGGGCTTCCCTTGAACAAACCAGGTTAGTGTGGGTTATGTCTTGGGAATATTTTTTGCAACTCTTCTGCTTTTTAGAATTAACTCATTCATTCACTTTATGGACTTGGATGTTGTATAAAAGAGTCGGTATATTTTGCAGATCCTGTTTCAGGTAGGAACTGATCCTTTATGTTCACGCTGATCTCAAGGCCAGAATTTTACTTCACAATGACGGGGCAAGATCTTAACTTTCTGGCCATGCAGTCTCTTAGGCTGTAAGCAATCAAGTTTATACTTACTAGTCCTTACAGTGATCATTCATTGAGTGCTCTTTCATGCTCCCCCAACCCCCACAGAAAATTTTAAACAAACAAAAATAGGGAAAATAGAGAATTGATCTTCCATATACCCATTGTCTGGTTTCAACAGCTGTCAACTCAAAGCTAGACTTGTGGCATGGATACCTTTTTCTCTCTGTCCTCCCCCCGTGTTGGTGGTGGTTGTTGAAGAAGAAGAAATTAGGCTGATTCTCTTCTCCAGTTTCCCACAGTCAAGGTTTATATTCCTTTAATTTTTTGTTTTTTAATCATATCCTTCTGTCCCCTTTATTTCCTGTGAGTTGGTAGGTAGGTTCAGAGGCTTGATCAGATTCAGGATCTATACTTCCCCCTTCCCCAAGCAAAAATGTGTTATAGATGGTGTTCTGTATAATTTAATACTCTTATTTAAAACTGAGCAGTATGAAAATGTTTCCATTTTAACTTTTCTTTAAAGAATCATCTTATACTAAAATAGGACACAGGTAACAGGATATTTATAATCAGGGCCGCTAGATGTCTCCCACCCACCTTTTCTGTGCCATGCACAAAAGATCTTGTCACCTCCAGCCCTCTGCTGCTTTACATTGACCCCTGAACATCCCAATCCCCAAACTTATTCATTGCTCTTTTGCTCACATATTAATTCAGCACATAGTTAAGCTAAAAAGAGATCATGATCCAGTTGGGGGAGGGTGTCATAAGATAGCCTTAGCAGTCACTGTAATAAGGGATAACTATTGGTTAGAGACATAGAGCCCTAGATGAAACGATGTGGCAGTCAGGAGTGGTAAATGGTCACTAGAGAGCTTCGGAAGAACTGCAGGAGAGAAGCCATTTCAGTTGGGCCTTGGAGGACAAGTATGGGTTTGGTATTGCAGAGGTGGAAGTGGGAAGGAGATGCTGAGGATGGGACCAGTGTGAGCAAAGGCACCGGTGCAAGAAACCATGAGGCACATGGAGGAGAGTGGTGTGTGCTGTTTGGGAGGTGGAGAGCCCAGCGGGTGGTGGTCTTGGAGCGTTAAGTTAAATTCCCTGTTAAAGAAAACAGACTCCAGGAGACCAAGGGAATAACACGATGAAGGCTGTGTTTTAAGGAGGCTGAGGCGGTAACAGTATTTGAGGTGGGAGTGCCGAGGCCGTGCAGTGATTCAGGTGAGTGGTGCAAGGCGAGGAGGTCTTGGGTCAGGCAGCTGCTGGCAGTGTTACAGACTTGGGAGAGGATGGGCTCAGAAACACTGGTTGTTGAGGGCATAGTTCAAACTCATATGTTACTAAACAGAAACATGAATCAATTGCTATAAAATTAATGTTAAGTTTCCTTTTATTCTTAGTTCTAGAGCCAGTACAAAAGCCTCATGAAGGTCCGGGAGAAATGGGGAAACCAGTCGTCATTCCTAAAGAGGATCAGGAAAAGATGAAAGAGATGTTTAAAATCAATCAGTTCAACTTAATGGCAAGTGAGATGATTGCACTCAACAGATCTTTACCAGATGTTAGGTTAGAAGGGTAAGTACCTGGTGTGGTCCTGACAGTATTTAATTTGAATGAGAAGTATGTTCTGAGTCTGGTAGGTTGCACTGTGGTGTTGACTGTTCTTAAACTGAATGTTATATCGCTAAGCTACTACTTACACCCCACTTAAAAAATAATTAAATGCTGATAAAATAATTCTAGTGACCATTGGGACTATGGATTTTAGGCTTTGGAAGATAATTGTTTACCTTGACAGATTAGTAGGGATTTTAAACTTCTTTATTACCAAAACATTTAAATACTATTTTTTAAAGATTCTTTTAAGTTGTGTGTAACTTAAAGCAGTGACGTATACAATTGTAATTGTGCAGATCACTGACTGTTTGTATATGTATGTATCTGTCTCGAGTGTCATCCAAGTCAAGTTATAGAACATTTCCGTCACCCTTGCAAGTTCTCTTATGTACTCCCACCCCCAGGGGCAGCCTTTGTTTTGATCTCTAAACATAGAAGAGCTTTGTTTTTCTCGGAACTTTTTATAAATGGATCCGTACTATGTATATTCTTTTGTGTCTTTGAGATCCATATTACTGCATAGATCAGAGATTTATTCCTTCCCATTGCAGTGTGGTGGTTTGTCGTGTGACTATACCACAGTTTATCTACACACTGATAGATATTTGGGTTGTTTCCACTTTCTGTTATGATTAAAGCTGTGGTGGTGATACCTCTGTGCGTGTTTTTCGGAGGACTTAAGCTCTCATTTCTGTTCGGTATTTACTGAGGAAAGGAATAAGGTGTACACTTACATAACTTTATCATGTGCTGCCAAGCATTTTTCCAAGATACTGGTACCAGCTTACACTCCTACGAGCAATACAAGAGACCCAGTTGTGCCACATGAGGACAGTAATACGAGGGATCTGGGCTAGAGGACAACAGCCCCAGTTAAAAGCAAGGGAACTGTACAGGGGATGGTAGATCAAGTGGACATACACATTCTGGCTGCAGAGACCCCTTGCAGCCACCTTGCCTTCTCCGGCTCCCGTTAATAACCACAGCCAAGCCTTACCCCCCAGGCAAGAGACTGGGGCATCTTTTTCAACAGAATTGGACTAGCCCGAGAGGAAAACAAAAAAGAAGTATGGACACCAACATCAGAGATTCTCCAATTTATATCCAGGGCTTATATTCAGCATTTTGGTCTTCCATGTTTAATCGTAGGTAACCAAGAAGAACAGACATCCCAGGAAACCCTCAGACGTGGAGAGTATAATGCAAAACTGTAAACAACTCGGAGGAAGCAGAGACTATTTGAGAGGAAGAAAACTTAAAAAGAACAATTAGTAGTCCCAATTAAGTAAGAAAACCTATTGCAACCATAAAACAAGAATAGGAATGCTCTTCAAAAGATACACTGAGAGAACTAAAAAGAGCTTTTGGGAATTTAAAAACTTGAAAACATCCAGAAGTTAGAAGGCAGAGCTTAGAAGGCAGTGAAGAATTACAGAGCCAAAATACGAGAGAACGTGGAAACCCAGAGAAATGAGCCTAGAATTTAGAGGCAACTTTTTACTTAGAGGCATCTGCTGAATCCAGAAGGACTATACTGAGAAATAGTGGTTTTGACAGCCCTTTGGTGCTAGGTAGGGCCTGAAAACAGAACCTATCATGTAAGGAGGAAGGGTGATGGTGGTGTTGGAATCCGGGAGTCCCTTCCTGCATGCTTTAGTGTTAGGCTTCTAGAAGTAATGGTCATATTGAAGTGGACAGATCAGCTTTTGTGGGGACTGAAGCCCAACTTCAAACTATCTCAATATATGAAGCTAAATTAAGGTGCTTAGGGTTTACTAGTGCCTCTAGCTCCCTTAGAAGCAAACAAATCCGCTTCGAAGGAAGATCTCAGGCATCAATTTTTTTTTTTCTTTATGGTATTTCGTATATAGTGTCTGGCTTGCAATTGAAAAAAAAAAAAAGAGCAGACATATGAGGAAACAAGACAGCATGAAAGAAAACAAAGCATTAGAAATGAAAACAGACCAAAAAGGACTCCAGGTAATGGAGTTATCAGAAACAGACTTTAAGATGATTTTATATAATATTAATGTGTTTAAGGAGATTAAAAATGAGATTGAGAATTTCAACAGAGAACTGGAACCTATTAAGAAATAACCAGATGGAAATTCTAGAATTGAGGAAGTATAGTAATAAAAATAAAAAACAGTGGATGGGTTTAGCAGCAGATTAGACATAACTGAAGAGAGAATTAGTGAACTGAATTAAGGAACAGGAGTAAATATCTGGAATGAGGCATGGAGAATTAGAAAGAGGGGACATGAAAAACAGTAAGAGATACAGGAGATACAGTGAGAGGTCTAAAATTATTGACAAATTGCAGTTACGAAGTGAGAAAGGAAATAGAGCGGCAGCAATTTTTCAAAGTATAATGGCTGAGAATTTTCCAAAACTGATGAAAGGAAACGAGGCACAGAATCAGTAGGTCTGATGAGCCTTGAGCAGGATACCTGCCGCATAATAACGACCTGGACACATCGTAGTAAAACCACTGCAAATCAAAACTAGAGAAAAGAGTCAAAAACGAAAAAATCAGAGAGGGAAAATAAAGATTCCCTTCAAAGATTCCCTTGTAAGTCTGACAGCTAACTTCTTAAGAGAAAAAAAAAGAGGAAGCCAACAGATAATGGAGTGGTATCTTTTAAGAGAGAACTACAGCCTTAAATTCTATACACAGCAAAAGTATTCTTCAAAAATAAAAAGATTTTAAGATCAACAAAAACTGAGATAATTCATTACCCACACTAAAAAATGCTGGTGGGTATTTTCTTGGCAGAAAATGACCCCATGAGTGATCAGATAATAGAAATGAAGGAAGAGCATGAAAGTAAGTGGGTGAGGTGGAGGAGAAGCGAGCAGAGAAGAGCTCTGAGAGGCCACGTATTGAAAATCAACTGTATGGAGATTTAAGATGACCGAGAACGTGATGACAAGATTAGTGCTGGAATTGGTAGGGAAGGTGGCAGATGACTGTAACAAGGATGGGTTGGCAGCTTCTGATAGCACCTTCTTTAAAGGACCTGAGGCTTCTTAGGGAAGAAGGAGAACCTGTAGTCTTGAATCACCAGTGAGGAACAAGGGAGATATTTACCCCCACCTCCAGACTCAGCGGTTTAAGGGATGTGGAAGAAAAGCCAGCCTAGGAAAAAAATCAAATCAAATTGCAGATACAATACTTAGAGTTATGGAGGTAATTGCCAAGAGAAACAGATAAAAGAACATGGTTTGCATTATGGGAAGGGAGAAATGGCAGAGAGGTGAGGGAACAGCCTTTTTAACGTGCTTCGGGCAGTTAGTTAATTTTTAAGCTATGTACGTGTCCTTTGATCAAAATGAAAGCTAAATAAAGTTCCTCAGGTAATTCTAATTTCTGCGGACATCCCGCCTCCCAGGGACTCACTGCTCCAGTCTAGTGCTTCTCAAACTTGCTGGGGTAGGAGAGGAGGGAGAAGGAAGAAAGGCTGCAGGTGGGGATGTGGAATTCTCTCTGCTCTCTGACCTTTAGGTCGCTCCTTACTAGCTCCTCAGACCAGAAAGAGAGCGCCTCTCTTGGGTCTCATTGTGCACGCGTGCAGTTTTGCGGCTGCTGAGTGCAGGCTGGCCAATGCCAGAGCGGGAAGGATGGGAGTCCCCGCTGATTGGATGGAACTTCACCTTCAGGTCTCCTTCGTCAGCTGGCCTGCTGCCATTTACAGTTCGGTGTCCCCTCACATACCTGTCCAGGAGTTAGGGTTCCACCCACTGGGAGTAACAGTGGAGTACACTTACTCCATCTTTCCTGGAACCAGAAAATACACCCATTCAAAGTGTATATAGTTCAGTGATTTTTAGTAGTAGAATCATATAAAAGTGGGTCTTTTGTATTTGGTTTCTTTGAGGATGATGTTTCTGAGATGTATCCTTTGTTCCTTTTTATTGTCCAGTGTTATTCAGCTGTATGAATGTAACACATTTATATCTTCTGTCACTCGCTGAGCGTTTGAATTGTTCCCATTTTCTGGCTGTTACGAATAATGTTGCTAAGAACATTTATGCACAAGTCTGTGTGTGGATATATGTTCTTGTTTTTCTTAGATAGGTTTTTGTTTTTCTTGGATGGATTCCTGATTGCTGGGTCATATGGTCACTCTTTGTTTAATTATTTAAGAAATTGCCACATTATTTTCTAACGCTGCTGCACCACCCACGTTCCCACCAGCAGTGTATGCGGGTTCTAGTTTCTCCACATCCTCACCAGTACTTCTTCTTGCCTTTTTAATTATAGCCATTCTGCTAGGTATGAAGTGGCGTCTCACTGTGATTTTAATTGCATTTCTCTAATGACTGATACTGTTGGGGATATCTTCATGTACTTATTGGCCATTCTTACATCTTTCATGAAATAGTTCTTCAAGTATCTTGCCCATTTTAAATTGGATTATTTGTCTTCCTGTTACTGAGTTGTAAGAGTTTTTTTTAATATATTCCGGATATAAATCATTTTATCAGATGTTTGATTTCCAGATATTTTCTCAGTTTGCAGCTTGTCCTTTACATTTCCTTAATGGTATCTTTAGGCATAGAATGGCACACAAAAAATTTAATTTTGATGAAGTCATATTTATTAGTTGTTTCTTTTATGGATTGTGCTTCTAATGTGTTATTCCACCTCATGGTGCAAGGCTGGAATCTTTCTTCCTAAGATCAGAAACAAGGAAAGGATGTCTGCTCTCCACTTGTATTCAAAATTGCACCAGTTCAGAACTCAGAAGTGTGCCATGCATACAGAAGTCCTCTCTGGTCTGAGATACAACAAAGGGGACTTTTAAGGGTTAGAGAGTGAAGTAAAACCCTTATTTCTCTCCCAATCCATCTCCCTATTTAACCTTTTCAACCTTCCCCACAATCCCAGCCCCTAGGCAATATTGCCAAGGCTGCACAGCCATGGGGGCAGTGCCCAGGCAAGCAGTGAAGCTCTGGGGAAGGGGAATCGTCTGTTTGACTGGAAGAACTCTGGCCTCCAGAGCATGAGGAGAATTCCCATTGTTTTCTGTCTCCCACAGACTGGCCTAGAACACAGATACAGTCGCAGGAAGTATGCAGCAGAGTGAGGAAACTGAAGCCTCGGCTCTCTGGCTCTGTTGGAAGACTAAACATACAAGATGTCAGTTCTCCTCCAATAGATGTTTGGTGAAATTCCACTCAAAACCCCAGGGAGAGATTTAAAATTTTATTTGGAAAGGCAAAGGAAATAGAATAGCTAAAATAATTTTGAAAAAGATGAATAAAGTTGGAGAAAACACAGTACCCGATTTAAAGACTCTCCATAAAGCTGCAGTGATCAAGACAGTGTGGTTTTGGCAAAAAAGATAGATGTATAGATTAGTGGAACAGAATAGAAAGCTCAGAAATAGACCCACACGAATATGGTTATTTGACTTTTGACAAAGCTGAAAAGCCAATCAATAGAGAAAAGATTATCTTTTCAACAAATGATATTGGAACAATTAGAAATCCATAGGTAAAAACACGACTCAACCTTAATTTCATGCATTATATGAAAATTAAGTCAAATTGGATCAGAGATCTAAATCTAAAACCTTAAAGTTTTTAACTTGGGGATGATAGTCAGGGCCTGGCGTTAGGCAGAGAGTATTCAGACATGACACAAAAGCATGATTCCATAAGAGAAAAAACTGATAAATAAAATCATCAAATCAAAAAATTTTCTCTCTGCTAAAAATGCTGTTAGGAAAATGACAAGCTACAGAGTAGGAGGGAATGTACCTGGGAGACGTAATTAAGAATCTGCCTGTGGATTGCAGCTGAAACTCATGCCTCTGAGTGTCCACCGTATGCTCCACTGACAGTCATGCAATAGAGGGGGAAGAAAACGAGTGGAGACACACTAGATAACCAGAAAGGGATGTTTCCTTCTCCGGCAGTGTTTCCCCAACATCCTTTACTGACAAAGCTTATGAATCCATCTTGCTAACTGCAAAGCACAAATGCTTGTAGGAGCCAGTTACGTTATCACAGAGCAGGCAATGAAGGATATATTTGGAGCTAAGAGGCAATAATTTCTTAATGGGCATACTGCACAAAAGTGGTAAATCTTTTCTCTGATAGCTAATGTAGTATGTGTTTGTGGATTTTTGTATTTTAATAATTGCTGTTTCAATTTATAATGTAACTATAACCCATAAACATAAGCACTTCGGGGTCCTCAACTTTTAAATACGTTAAGAGGCTTTGAGTGGAAAAGTTTTGAGAGTTGCTGCTCTATATTATTCTTTTTAAGTAAAGTTCAAAAAAAGAGGCAAAACTCATGTGTCATGTGAGAGGTCCAGAGGAGTGGCTACCTCGGGAAGGGGCACAAAGACAGCCTCTGGGTTGTTGGTAGTGGTTTGTTTCTTCACCTGGCTGCTGACTACTTGATGCATTCACTGTAGAAACTCCACTGTCTGCTTAGGATTGTCAGCTTGTTTGTGCGTATATTTCAGTAAAAAGTTAAGACTTTTTTCCCCTCTCTTCCTGACGCACACCCTGTTGTCAGATCTGTCTGTAGTTTTTGTTTGTTTAAGTAGCACACCCTTGCCCTGGCTTATTTTCATCCCTGAGAAGGAAAGGCTCAGCTGGGACAGGGTGGAAGCAAACTGCTTCATAATACTGCCTGTGCTCATCCTCATCTTTGTGCCCCCCCACCCCCAGGGGATCCTTCACCCCGAGCCCCACAAGGATAGCTGTTCCTTCTGTGGGAAGAGCTTAGCTAGAATGGGATCTCTGGTTCTTCTTAAGGGCTGTATGACTTTCCCAGATAGAGAGGAGTTTGTATGTGTTTACCTGTTTGAGATCAGTTGTGATGATTTTTGCCATATTTTCTCAATGTTTTCTATTTTGCATTGGGAGAATATTTATGAATTTGTATGTCCTCTGAATGAGTAAATGTAATAGATTCAGAAAATTATTTTCCTTTTTTGTCATCTATTCTTCCGGATCATCTATTCACTTTGCTTTCTGATTCTTCCGTGGTGCTGTGAATGCTTTCCATTTTACTCTCCTTTATTTCTAGTGTTCCTATAGCCTTGCTTCCTTTCCATACAGCTTCACAGTTTAATTCTTTAACATCTCATCCCAGTACTAAATCTGACTCCTCACGTCTCTTCTGCAGAGCCTGCATCTCAGAGTCCTG